ATCCAGGCAAGGTCACTCTGGCTGGCATCTTAAGGAAGTTAATGGAAATAAAGCTCCCCTCCCCTCCTCCTTTTGCAGCCACCATTGCCTGTCAAAATCCCACTCTGAAAGGTATGGGGCAGGGCCAGCAGCCCATCCATTAGGCAGAGTGAGTTGGCTATCCAACTGCTCTGGAATGTCATTAAAGATTTACAAATTATTACTCTCCTGGTAATTGGAACAAGTCTTGGTCTAAAAGAGCATCTGCCTTTCCTATCACTGCAGCCAGTACAAAATCTGCGGCATATTTGTAAACCAATGTTAAAATACAAGAAATTATACATTTTGTTTATTGCACAAAGTATTGATAAAGTTACTCATAACTCATTACCAGCAATGACAGGTGCAGCTAATTACATATGCACAGCATTTGAATAACGTATTCACATCAGTTTGTTGTCATTAGAGATAACGACAACAATGTGAGATCACCTTCACTTCAGCTTCAGGCTGGATCCTAACTCTCCTCAATTATCTACGCAATTTGGGTTTTGCCATTTTCCTTCTCCTTCCCAGTGATTTTAATCTACTTGCTTATTCACAAATGGCATAAATATACAATGGCTGAAATCCTGTTGCTTAATCGTAGTATGTCACAATTGCGGTAGGCCCACTGAATCAGTATGGAGGAGTTGACTCACCAAAGCCTTGCTGATTCAGTACTCTAGTTGTGACTTGGTACAATAAGCAACAGGATTTCAGCATCTCTCTCATAAAAGTCATTACGCCTCAGTAAGGTGTAAGACTTATTAAAGCTTTACACTGCAATCCTATACACATCCCACTTGAACTGCATGGGTCTGAACAGCGTGGTTTTGGTTATACACAGTTTTTCCCCCACTAAATAAATAACTACTCCAATAAATAAATAGTTGAAGAGAGAAATGTGTGTCTGTATATGAGTGCAGTACAATCACATACACACACACATGCACACACTGAAGTAGGTCCCATTGACTTCCATGGGTCTCACTCTGTGATAAATGTGTACGGGATTGCAACCATGGTTCTTATTGGTTACGTATTCCAATGCTAAACTGCAGGTTTGTGTAATATATATTTATTTATCTCATCTGTTGGCTCATATGTTTAGATTCCTGCTCCCCTGATGAATCAGAATCTAGATCCCCTGGAATCATAAAGATATATAAACGTCTAAGTGAGTGTTGGTTTGGAGGAAATATATTTTAAAACATCTCCAGGTTGAAAAGTGCAAGGTCTCCAGGTTGAAAAGTAAAGGAAATAATAACCAATGGCATTGTATGGATAACTTTTAAAGAAAAGTTCCTTGGTAATTTGATAGGTGGCCCAAATGTTCTCTGTTTTCTAGCTGAAAAAAACTATACAAACTACATTTTCTACAGAGAGAGAGAGAGACTGTTGAGATTTTACTCTGGCACTAGTAAAAACTGCATAAATTGGATCAGCAAATTGCTGCTAATTAGCAATGTACTGGTCACATGCCTGGTCATGAGCGAGTCACATAACCAAGCATGCAACCAGCACATTGTTAATTTGATGCAGTTCTCCACTGCAGTATATGTGATCTCACTTGCCCTGGAGTAAAATTATAGTAAGAGTCCAGCTAGTAGGTGTAGGCTTATATGTGTGATACGGTATTTTGAGACTACAGAATTTTTGTCCCCAGTTCAGGTCCATTCACAGGCAAGTACTCACATGTAACAGCTGGTGTTCTGGATAATGGAAATAAACACTAGCTGTTTTATCCAAGGTCTCACTCACCCACTCAGTTCAATGGGCTTAGATAAGCATTGTGATGCAAAAGGAGATGAACAGTATGTCCACATCTGAACTGGCTATCCGTTCAAAGTTGTTTACACAATCATATTTCTTTTGCTGGATCGAGGAAATATTCTTCATGTACTGTATGAATTAATATCTTCCAATGCACAAGGCATGCTAGGTGCCTTTCTTGGCTTCTCTTACTGCCATAGCATTGGGAACCACAGTACTACAAATTGACCCCAAATGGACTGCTTCCTATTGCCTGCTGTCACGTAATTGTAAAATTTGGGCATTTAAAACACTCTGGGTTCGTGGTTTTCTCCCTCTTCGGCATTCTGTGCCTGCATCCATCTGCACACCATAACTTCTCTCTACCCTCTCAAAAAGATGATGGTAGACAATTTAAAAAAACACTATTGAAACTTCAATTCAAGCTGTATTCCCTTTTGCATTGTTCTCTAAACAGCTTTCTCTCTCTCTCACACACACACACACATACACAAACTTAAGTCAACAGTGATGTCCAGAGAGCAACAACATGACCAAGAAATCTCAATAGTCATTGTGTGATTAACTTATGACATCAAGTTATGTCTATGGAACTATAGCTCAGGACCCCCTAAAGTTCCTGCCAAAAAAAGTGTTGTTTTGACCATCAATGGGATGTTACCCTACCTTGTTATCTTTGTTCTGAATAGATATGCGCACAAAAATAGGGGGGATAAAGATGCCACCTTTATTCTAAGCTATTCCTCCCACTACAAATTGTTTTGCAAAGGAAGCACATTTCTCATACATCACCCTCCACTATCTAATTCCTGTACGTCTATGCAGCAAAGTATTTAAAGAGCAAGAAAATGAGACCACAATAATTGATCTCTTTTAGATTTTTCATACGCTGTGATTGCATTCACCATGCATGGTAGTCTGGGAAAGGATGAAGATGGAAGTTTATGAAATCATATTGGACTGTGTCAGACGGCGTTCTTGCCTTTTGTGTCATTGAGAAGACTTCTCAACATAATTTATATTTGTTTGATGGGACCCCAAAAGCTACTTTATTGTTTTAGCACACAGAAAATTACAGTAGTTTTGACAGTTAATAATGAATGGAACTATTGGTATAATTAATATACATCAGCAAGGTTTAACCATCTAAGCAGAGTATAAGACCCCCGATAGCCAATATTACAGTGACATTTCTCGACCTTTGATTCGGTAATCCATCCATAAGTACAGAAGCAAAAGTATCGTATATGTATTGCTCTGATTGCACATCAGTCCCAATATATAAAAATACATTTTGAAAAAAGAGATAACCATACCTTTGTTCCTATATGTGCAGATTTTAAACTTAACATTTGCTAATGGAATTTCAAGAATATTTAATGAAGACAATGCATGACTGAAGAAGGTTGTTGTTGATTTGTTGGTGAAATGTTGATAATTGGCAGTAAAAAAAATCCTCCGACCATCCACTTGATGCTACAAATCTTAGCCAGGCAGTACCTTGTATTTTGATTAGGTTGTCATCACATGACTTGATAATTGCCGTACTTTTTATATATAACTGGAATGCATGGAGTTATGTTTCTATATTTCTTATTTATTTTTAGTACATAAAGGGCCATGCAATAATTACTACTGTTCTTGTATTCGTATTATTTTTGGTTTGCCTATAGCCAAGTCTGTTGCCCTTTGCAAACATCTCTACAAACCTTAATGTTCAATGTCAATACGCATCCTTGTTAGCTACAGTAACTACAGACAATAAAAATAAAAGTTATCCTACCAAAGGTTCTACTTAACCACTAGCAACAGCATTTTAATAGTAAAACAAAAATACTAGCCAAGGTTCTGGATCAGATGAATGTTGTGGGCAAGGTTTTCTCAACCAGAATATCAATAAGATCATGACAGAGAGCAGCTACTCTAAGGTCTAACATTAAATGATGCGCCTCTTTCATTGTCAAGGACCACACACTTCTGAAAGGCAGTGGCGAGGATTCTGGTTCACTTGACACACCATGGCTAGTTTGATGTCTGAAGAGGAAGAAATTCCAGCCCATTAAAATGGTAGACAATTAGCTAAACTACTTGTTGTCATTACCACCATTGCACAATCACTGATTCCCATTCCTGCCAAAATCACATTTGAAAAATACATTTTAAACAGAAATTTAATAGGATATTTAAAATGAAATTATTCTGATTGAACTTTTAAATCAGTGAAAATTAAAGGTTTGCATACTATTGCACTTTGTAATCCCTCCCCATACCATCACGTCTGTTTTGAATAAATAGTATTAAACTATCCCACTTCTAATCGGTCCTCTGTGATATAGTAGGTTGATGCTGCTAAGCATTTATTCAATTAGAGAACGACGGACTTATTTTCAGCAGTATAATTTTTTTCAGCCAGATAGCTTTGTACACACTGAAATTGCCCATTGCTGCAAAACAAGCCATCAGCTTCACCTTTAAACCTTACATTCCACCTGGTCAGGATCTCCTTAACAACAATGACATTTATCTTAGCTACCTTGGCCCAGAAATACAGACATCTCATCCCCTCAAGCACCTAAACTATTAGTGTAAAAATAACTGAAAGTGACTGAAAGCCTGTTATGTAAAACAAGACTGAATTTTGGCTGCATCATTTGGAAAAAAAATAATTCTGCTTGTAAAATATAAGAAATTCTACAAATGGTAGAACAGGTACATTCATATAAAACACACACACACACACACACACACACACACACACACGTGCAGAGAGACATTCCATTGCACATATCTGAAGCTAAAAAATATGGTGAGGAATAAACACAGATTTATTATACATAAAGGTGTCACTCTTCATCTATTATAGGTTGCACCAGACACACAAAAAACCCATATATACAAATACATACATGTGCTGTTCTGAGAAATAAGTAAACCAAATCCTTGTGTTTAGAAATATTCCTTTCCCACAGTTTTAAATCATGCTCACTGCCAACAAGTCAGCATGCATATTTCCTTAATTAAAACAAATTGCCATGGATTTCTGACAATGTCTTTCTGCACTTAACAGTCTTCACAAGAGTCCCAGAAAAAAAACACACACGAATGAAAATGCTTCCAGCCTAACTAGTCAGCTGCTAAAGCAGAAAAAGATGTCTTTCCCTGATTAAAAGAGAGAACGAGAACAGAAAGAAATCAAACGGACCAACCTTCACAACATACGTCACTCCAGGTCCCAGGATCTTCTCATTGGCATGCAGCCACCCTTGGGGTAATTTGCTGCCAAGGCTGCTCCCTTGATTCCAGTCTTCACCTCCCAGGTGCATTTCCTCTGGCCATGTTTTTTTCCCTGCGTTCATCCTGCTCTTGTCCTGCTGAGAAGATGGAGTGGCAGGGACAAGGTTACATGTGTTGTCTGAAGCTTCTGCTGCTGTGCTAGGACCCTGCAACTTCGAGACAGCCAGCTCTTTCACGGCAGAAGAGAGGTTCTTGATCCCCAAAAGGCTGCCTGTGTGGGAGAGCTTCAAGTGGGACACTTTATGCATAAGAGTGCACAGGCTGTTGGGTCCATCTTGATCCTTCTGGAGAATCTCCGGCGAGACCAGATACGGGGATGGCGTTGAACTTGTACCAATTGACGAGACCTTGCTGCTCATGGACAAATTATGGAGAAGATCATCAACGGATGTCACCGAATCATTCCTGAAGCGGTTATACTTGGTACGTTGAAGCATGCCCTTCTATCTGGAGTCTTGCATATGTTCTGGCAAACCAGAGAATCCCTGTGCTAACATAGCAGGCAATTCAGAATACTGAAGATGGAAAGTGAAAAAAAAATTGACTATGGGGGGAGTGGATTTTGGAAAACAAAAATGAATTTCAGAGGAATTTTGCCTGAGATTCCATGGTCAGGCTAGGTGGAGCGATAGTTTTTCTGTGCAAGGGAAAGATTCCAGTCCTGCTCAGAGCTGCCAAGTCTGTCACAGCAAAAGCATGACTCACACAAATGAGAAGGACCCTTTTCAACAAAAGGCTCAGTGAATGCTGCAAATCACTTCCTGTAGGGGGAAAAAATCCACCCACTTTCAGCACGCTACCACCAATCAATTCTCAAATTTCCTCCTCCTATCTTAAACATATATTTTACTCTCAGCTTTTCTTCCTATTCCTTTTTCTAAAGCAACCACAGGTGAGTGCCTGCAATAGCTCAGAGTAACCACATTAACTTTTTAGCCATCTGAACTAGTATTTTTATCTTAGACCCATGACTCCGTAAAATATGCCTTGGTTAGCCAGGAAAGCAAGCAGCAATTTCATGTGTATAGCATTCATGCAGATCCTAGCATATAGATACCTGGCAATGCTTTTCAACGACCAAAATGCATATTACACATTCAGTGTAGGGCGAGACAACTATATAGTAAATAATCAAGTCTTTTCTTTCAGGAAACCTGAGTGTCCCTTAAAATAATGCATTTCCTTACAAAGGTTCTCCTCGCAGTTATCACACTGCAGGATTTTTTAAAAGGAAAACCATCACACCTTTGCGTTTTCTTCTTTTTCCACTGCCAAGGTTAGAGAGGTTTTTTTAAAAAGTGATGCAATTACATGAAAGATGGTGTGGCTAGAAAGAAAAAAAGGTACTTGTAAAAAAAATATGACTATGGCACGAGATTTGTGAAACAAAGTCCCTTGATTCCAACAATCCACAGCAAAAAAGCAGCTACAGTTCAGCTCTCAAAACTTGGTTTAAATATTAAAATATAAGAAATGCTAGATGACTATTTAAAAATGCTTGTAACAATTTGCTGGTGCCCCACTTTCAAAAATAGAAAAAAATCTATTAATAAATGTTTCAAGTCTCAGTCATCCATCATAAAATAAACCTAACACTCCTGATTTGAAGAGATACCACCACCAGTTAATAATATATTCTACCTATTTATTGGAAGCATGCAAAATCTTACATCAATATGCAAATCAGATTCTAATAGTACACTATTAGAGGTTCATTTATACAGCAAATGACGAAGTTGAGTAACTATACTCTGAAAAAATAGATTCAGGATAATGGCACTGTAACTTTTTTTTTTTTAAAAGCAAAGAAACAAAATTGCAATACACAATTAATCAATTAATTACCCATCAGGAATCTCACACTCTCACCCCCTCCCTAGACTGAAGTACATAAAATGCTATTTGCACAATGCTAGTTTTCAATGCAGGTATGCAATGAGAAGAACTGATGACATATAAATGAAGGCAGCACCTCTGATCCCAGTAGTGATGAATGAAAATGTCCCATTCATTGTGAAAGCAGGTTTCTAGTGATCTGCAGAATAGCCTTTCATCACACTGCAAACCTGCTACAGCATCCACACTGCATTCATTTTTTTCCTTCCTCCTGCTACCCTAGCAACAGCAAATATACATAGTACAGATCATTTCTGGTCTTGTGTTCAGTAACAAGCCAAAATCTCTGTCATTCAGAAATGACTTCCTTCATTAGAAGTAGATAAAAAAATTTGAAAATGTGAATGGAATTCTATATATGTGAATGAAAGAGCTGGCTAGCATACCAGCATTTCTGTGAATGAAGCAGGGCCTTGCAGCCTCTGCCAGGCAATCCCTTGGATGCTAACTATCTGAACCAATAAGAGGCAGCCTGGATGACTCATTCAACAAAGGCTGGCTAAATAGTGGACGATTCCATTTCACACACAGGTAGGATTTTTCTAGGTACAGTATAGCACTATGAAGGATAAATATATAATCTCCAAATTACTATCCATCTCACCTTGAAAAAAAATTCAAGTTTTTTTTTAAAATAACATTTTGTAGTTTGTGTTCAGATAAGGAAATATTTCATCCCCCAAATATGCATTTGGTTGGTTTATGCAGAATAAACTGAGATAGAAACGTGACGATATGTATCCTGACATTTATGGGTTAACATTTTCAGGTACATTGAGAACCATTCAGGCTTTGCACGGAACAGCTATATGTGGAAAGTCTACTATGTCTGGGGTTTTTAAGTTTAGAAAAAAGCTAAATATGAATGGAGGAGAACATAACTAAAGTGTACAAAATTATGCATGTTATGGAGCAAATGGTTAGATCACTGAAGTTTTTCTCCCTCTCTCATAAAACTTCAGCCTAAGGTCATCCAAAGAAACAAAATGGTGCAAAATCTAAGCGAGACCAAGGGGCATATTTCACACAGATCTGTATGTTTTCAGTACCACAATGTGGTGATGGTGAGTGGTGTAAAGTATTTTAAAGGGAAACTACATAATTTCATAGAGGAACAATTATCAATGGCTACTAGACATAAAGGTTACATGCCAGTTTCAAAACCAGGATGCTAAAAAGCCAACAAAGAGTTCTGTGACATCCTAAAGACTAAGTCTACCACATTTCTTGTAGCAAAAGTTTAAAGGAACCTCATGGCACAGTGGTTAAACTGCTGTACTGCAGCTAAAACTGTGCTGATGACCGAGAGTTCAGTCCCAGGTAGCCATCTCAAGGTTAGCTCACACTTCTATCCTTCCGAGGTTGGTAAAATGAGTACCTAGCATGCTTGGGGGGGGGGGCAAAGTGTGGCCTGCATAACTAACTTGTAAACCGCCCAGAGAGTGCTTAAAGCGCTATGGGGTGGTATATAAGCAGCACGCTTTGCTTTTTTTAAAATATGAACTGTAGCCCACTTCACCAGATGCATGAGTCACTATTCAGATTTTCAGGTATGTACGCACAGTGTGCATGGCTAGAAATGATATCATTTATTAGAGAACAATGTCACCTTCAGATCCTACTTTCGTAAGTTTCTAAAAAGAGATCCATTTGGTCATCATGGAAGCAGGACACTGACTATGCTCTGGTCTAACAGGGCTCTTTCTTTCTGTGCTCTTACGGCTTGTATTTGCACACAATCCAAAGCTGCAGTTTTGTATGTACATACAGGAAAGACACTTTTGCAAGAAAACATCTGCAATAGCAGCAGTAGTACAAACCTGTGGAACAGAGGCAGTGCTTGCTCAGTGCAGAACAAAGTGCAAAGACAGTTGATACCACCAGGGGGCAGGTGCTGAACATCCAAGCCCTCTCAACACAGGAGACTCTGTGGTTTCTTAAGCACAGCATAGGACCTCAGCCCCTTTCCTTATGAATGTTCTCTTAGGACTCAGTTGCACTGTTGACATGAATCAGGAGCTGAATCGGGGTTTTTTGAAGTCGATTCAACGTCACACGGTGTTTTGGGTTAGTGTAGGCATCCTCGTGGGACAACTTTTAATCTGGTAAAAAGCTGCACTGTATATCAGTCAAGGGGGCTACTTGGGCACTGGCACCGCAAGGCTCCAGCTTCTGATTTTTTCAGGGTCACTTAAATTTTAAAAAGACAAGGAAAGAGTAGTCCACCTGCTTCCTCTCCCTTCAAATTTCAAAAACAAAGCCAGGGGAGAGAAGTGGCTTTATATGAGCACACAGAGGGGGAGCTTGCTAGAAGCCACCCAGAGATGCATGCCAGCAGGAAAAGAAGAAGACCAAGTATGAGATGAATTAACTCCATAAAGCAAGCCATGGCCTCGAGTTTTCAGGAGCTGAGCAGAGCTATCAATAACAGGACACTTTGGAGGTCATCCATTCATAGAATCACTATAAGCCACAGGTGACTCGAGAGTTCATAACAGCAGCAAACTTCAAATCAGTAGCAAAATCTTCGAGTCCAAAACATTCTGAAAGTGGGCACGTAGAAACAGGATGAAGTAATCATCAGCTAATCATTACAGAAAGAACCAGAACGAGGGCAGGAATACAATTTCTGGTTTGTTTGATGAATTTAGAATTTGATATTTCAATTGTTTTAAAAAAAACCTTGTAACTTCTCTTTTATAGACACGGTTTCCATGGCAATCTTGTTGCTAAGACTGGGCCCAATAAGTACATTATAGCCTTGTCTGCATTTGGAATTTGTTCCTCTCAATTAGGACAGTTTGGCAATACTGTACCACCACCAGCAAACCACAGTGCAAGACCCCCAAATCTGATTCGATGAGCAGCTGCCATCACAACAGCACAGTGCAAAGAGTTATACTAGGCTAATGTAACAGGCGATAAAACATAGTCCCTGAGTATGAATGGGCACATTCTACATTAATCAAATGGATTTAACTAGAGCTTGGATACTTAAGGATAGCTTTACAAGTTATACATCAAAACGAGAAATGCAAATACTTTCTTTTTGCAGTTTGTACACACAGAGGGGATAGCTGATACCAGGCAGCTAACAGACATTCAAGCCCAAATAGTATCTCCCTCTGGACCAAATTAGAAAATCTGACTTTGTTATGACATTCTGCAGCCGACTTGTATCCTACAACCTCAGGATTCAACAAAACATTTTTTAAAAAACTTGACACACAAAGAAAGGAAGTGTAGGGTGCTTACAATAGGAAGGGAGCTCACATTCTGGAATAAGATGAGCTGAGCTGCGTTGAAGCATGGGAAAGTAACTTCAAAAGGTTGCATTTAAGGTTGATTATTTGCTCTCTAGCAAAATTAGGCATCCTTCAGTCTCGAAAGACAATGGTAACGTGCTCTGTAAGGAGGAGTTGGAACAGCACTCTCTAGCGAGGTAGCAGCACAAAATTCTTTGGACAAAAGTCAAAAAAGTCTCCCCTAATAGCACACTTTCTGGGGTTTTTTAACACATTAGTTACAAAGGCACTGCTACATCAGAGCTACTGTCCTAAATGGCTTACAACACTGTGTAGCCCTGAAAGTACCACATATTGTAGTCCTGCAACAAACACAGCTAGACCTCTGTGTTTTCATTCTCTGGCTATTTCCTTATCTCTTTTTTCCTACAGGGAATACGCAGATTGGTGATCAGCAAGTGTATTATAAAAATTGTGATTTGCCTCTACAGTAACCACCACCACACCTGTGTCCTTACAGGACAACCTACCAACTATTTCAAATTCAATTTTCATTAACTTTTGCTACCCCAATTCTTCCATATGAGCCTCCCCGGCAGTTAAGATCTAGCCAGGGGGCCCTTTTGAAAGAGCCATCCCTTAAGGAGGTAAGAGGGACTTATGACTCCTAAAATGTGCTGCTTGAGGCTACTGCTTCACTGTGCCTAATGGTTACGCTGGCCACCTTCATTACATTGTTTCACAACTAACAATCGCCATATCATATGGGTAACAATACACCAGTGATGTGGATTAAAATAAGGAAGAGAAGTTTGCTATAGCTAGGTTTGCCAGATACATGGGTACCAAAAGGAAAACACAGAAAGACAAAAAAGAGGACAGAGGAGGACGTATTGAATGTTTCATTTGAATCATTCTGGATTAAATCCACAATCAATACAATTTTATTACAATAGCTGCCAATAAATTTTGCCTTTTTATTGTATTTTAAATGCTGTAAGTCGCCCAGAGACCTTTGGGTAGTGTGGGCGGCATATAAATTAAATAAATAAATAAATAAAATAAAATCTTGCTACACCAGGGTAGATAGGATACCGACAGAACTCTTTCAAGCCACAGAGACTGAATCTCAAAATCCTAACAAGAATATGCCAGCAAATATGGAAAACAAAACAATGACCCACAGACTGGCAGTGTTCAATATACATTACAATACCCCAAAAAAGAGATGCCAAGGAGTGCAGTAGTTATAAAATCTTTGCTCTCATTTCCCATGGAAGCACAGTGATGCTTACAGTGTTGCAACAAATGCCTTTATCTTATATGAAATGATAAATGCCTGATGTTCAAATTGGATTCCACAAAGAGGCACTCAAGATCATTTTGCAAATATCCACTACCTACTGGAGCGCATTGAAGAATTGCAGAAGATGATCAGTCTATGCTTTATAGACTATAGCAAAGCCTTTGACTGTGTGGATCATGACAAACTATGGGTTGCTATGAAAGAAATAGGTGTGACTCAGCACTTGATTGTCCTGATACATAATCTGCATTATAGACAAGAAGGTACCATTAGGACAGAATATGGAGAGACAGCATGGTGTCCTATAGACAAAATGCACCTGACAAGGGTGCATTTTATCTGTTTTTATCTGTTTGCAGAACATATCGTACAGAAAGTAAGACAAGATTCAGATGAAGGAGTAAAAATTGGTGCAAGAAACATCAATAATTGAAGTCAGGCAGATGACACCATCTTATTGGGAGAAAGCAGCAATGACTTTAAATACCTGTTAGTGAAAGTGAAAGAAGAACGTGCCAAAGCAGGACTGTAGTTGAACAAGGCAAAGATAAAAATCATGACTACAGAAAAAACTTTAA